TTGGATTGCAATTCCCATCCTTCCCGGCCTGCAGGATCTTTCTGGGGGACCAGTGGGCCCTTCATGCACTTACAGCAAATGTATTGCTCACAGAGGTTGCAGTGTGCTTTTCTGAATGGTGTGGAGCAGGTGTGCAAGCACACAATTTGTTAAGCAAGGACACGATCCTTTCACGAAGACCTTAAGCACTGAGAGTTAGGCTCAGCACCTGCCCGTCCTCCCGCCCTGCATTTTGGTTGGATGGACTTCGCTGCCCATCTGTTTCGGAAGGGAGGGAAGGCGTCTGGCCCGGCCCAGCACGGCTCCTTCCCTGGCCCCCCCAGGCTGCTTCCCAAAATGGCCCCCTTCCCCCTTCTCTGAGGCCCCAGTCCTCGGAGTCACTCATCAGGGGTGTTTCCAAGACCGCTTGGGGAGGGAAGCAAATGGGTCACAGCGCCCCCCACCCCTAGCTGGACAGAGGGCTGTCGCCAGTCTTCGTTCTGGGAACCTGATGCTTCCTTTGGCCCACATAATTATAACATGTTTCGGGAACGATCTTAGAAGATTCAAAAAGTCAAATGAACTTCCTTGCAGCCTTCAACCATGTCATTATCATCATTACTGTAGTCATTTCTATGCTATCCTTTTATTATTTTAAACTCAGGTTCTTTCAAGAATAAGACCACGAAAACAGCTGTGCTGGATCCAAACAAGGGCCCATGCTGAGCCAACCACTGTGTGGGAAACTCTCAAGCAGAGCATGAATGAAGCAGCACCTTTTGACTCATGTTCCCCAGCAACTAGCATACATGAGCCTACTGCCTCTGAGAGCGGGACAGCATTCAACCTTCAGGACAGTGGCCACTGATGGCCTTTTCCTCCAGGAATTTACCCACCCTTCCACACCACCCAAATTAGTGGCCATCTCTATTTCCCATGGAAGTGAACTCCATCAACCTGGCATCTATCCCAAAATCTCCAACCAATCCACTTCATAGGAGAGCCGCTTTGAGCTCTGCTATGGTGAGCAAAGACCACAGGAAAACTCCCAAGTGGCCAGTAGTCTAAAGAGAGTGGGAAGCGATTTGCTGCTCGGGCTGATCTGTCACCACGTCAGAAAGGCTGCCGTCTGCTCCAGGAGCCCTCGGCTGCACTTGGAATCGCAGCTAAGAGCAGGCAATATCTTGAGCACATGCTGATCCATCACCTTCTCACAGAGGCAAAGCACTAAACTGGTTTTCTACCTCAGACTGACAGATTCTAATAGAATTTCTCAGTTTCCCACTTCTGCGAGCTGGAAATTGGAGGGGTAGGAGGGAGAAGGCACCTTTATGGTGACAGTTCGTTTATGAAAAACCTGCCTTTTGGCAGGGGCGCAAAGATGGGCGCTTGGAATTAGGGCTGCTCACCTGGATCCATTCTCTCTCTCTGTTTTACTGGTTGCCAGGTGCCTTTTCAGTCTGGCTTTTTCACTAGAATCTCAATTTGTGCTGATGCATATGAGTGCAAACGCACGTTTTGCACAAGTGCAAGGGTGCACCACTACAGGTGCACATTTGCACATTGGTTACATACATTAGCACTAGTGCAAATTTGTGCAACTCTCCCTCCTGAGTGAAAAAGCAGCCTGCAGGGACACGGAATCCGTGGGCTTGGAAAGGCCAGTCTGCTGTGGAGCCTGCAGGTTGGTTTCACGGGAGTCTAAACTCTCTGGAATGGGTTGCCAGTCTTTCTCTAGAATCAATCTTGGGTTGATTGGTTGTCCATCTTCCTCTGAAGCCAGGGTGTGTTTGGTGTAGGGGCAGATGGGTAGCTGGCTTCGACACTGAGGGAGCGCCCCCAAAAAGCAGCAAAGTAGCAAAGCATCTATTTTGCTGGCCTTCTAAAGACATAATTATGTCTGTAGAGGATTATGTTTATATTATTATTATAAACATGTTATTATTGTTATTATTGTACTATTAATTATATTGTATTATGTATTAATATTATGTATTATATTATTGTATTAAGGTTTGTTTGATTTTGTATCACCTGGAGTTAGCTATTGTATTGCTTATTTGTACCACTTTAATGTATGATTGTATTTCTATGGAATATGTACTTTTTTCTTTTGTAAGCTGCCCAGGGAGCCCTATGGGCTATGAAGCGGCATACAAATGTAATAACGAAATGAAATAATTGTAAACTGTTTTTACACTTAAAACATGAGAATACAGAAAATTTAAGGGGGCAGCCCATCCTGGCTACAAACCCAAGTCCCAGAACTGAACTGGAGGCCAGAGGTCTTTTGGGGAGGGTGGGGGGACTAGCACTATCATTTTCTAAAATAATTCAAAGCAGGGAAGGGTCATTCTGCTGCTAGACCACTGCAGTGAGAGATCTTTGTCGATCTACTGCAAAGGACTCAGAGATCTCCCAGTAGATCCCAGTCCACTCTCTTCCTAGCCCTGCTTTATGGTTCCTCCGCTATTTGCATCTTTACAAGCACCGGGATGCTGTTGCCGGGGAGAAACAGGTAGAGCTCATGTTTAAAGAAGCCTCATCTCCCCCCCCCCCCCCCCAAAAAAACTTGGAAGCAGAAAGGCTGACTACTGCCTCCCCTGTCGATTCCAGAATTTGCCTCCAGTGGCCAGCCCCACACGCGTGGCAGAGCAGGGCCTCACGGGGGTGCAGTACAGCCCCCTTTAACTCGCAGGAATTGCTCCTGTTATCCACCACCTGTCTCAGACTCGGTTCTCTCCAAGCTTCACTGAAATCCTTTCAAGGGGTTGGTGCAGGGAAATAATTTTCCCCACAAAAAAATCTTTAGCTGTTACACAAAGCATTCTGGGGGCGGTCCCGAGATGTTGACCCACTTGTTTGACAGAAGACCTGTCCCGAAGATGGCTCCCACACAGCTGCCCACATTTTGGGTCTCTCCTTTGGAATGCCCCCACGAGAGCATTACTCTGAGTGCCAGGCCTTCCCCACCGCTCCTTGCAAGGTATGCAAATCCCCTTAGCGCTTTTTTAAAAATTGCAGATGGGCAGCCTGCCTTAGAGGTGGAAGTCCATGGCAGAAACCCCGCTTTGGCTCGCTTTGGCTCATCGGATTGGAGGTGGGGGGGATGTTCAGTGAGCTTAAGGGAGCCGGACTTCCTGGTGTCAGCAAATTGCTACCAGCAACTCCCAAGCTCTGGAAGAAGCTTCTTCCAGCTGTTAAGGGTCCACTATGAAACAAAAGCAGTTTCAGGGTAAAATGAGGGCGGGGGGCCTGGAGGAGGTTGGTCACATTAATTGCTGCCATAATGGAATGGACCCTGACCTGTTTCTCATTGCTCCACCTCTCGGCAGTTGTATCCCCCCACCCGAGGATCCCTGCCTGTCCCTTTGGGCAAAGGCATGCTCTGCGCCATTTATATCAGTGTAAGTGCTCCTCCTGCAACCTGTGTTGTAGTTTGCTTAATGAGTTAATGTTGCTCAGTCTTGCTTCATTTAGAGGAGATTAAGATGGTACTGCTCTTGTCAGCTGACGCTTTGTGGTTAGCAAAATGCAACCCCCCCCCCGCTCCCTCTTTTCTGCAAGCTCACCAAAAGAATCAGACAGAGAAGGGATTTGACTGCCAGGCAGGAGCTGAGTCGATATCCATTCAATTGGATTTAGCATGGTGCATGCAGCCAGAGTGGGAGTTAACCGGCTGCGCCTTGAAACGTTGATGGCCCTTCAAAAGAAGCAAATAACCCAAAATTGCAGAGGCTGTATTGATTGGGTAAGTGTGGAGGTTCTGCAGCCTCCGCTTCCCCCGCTCCCCATTTTCAGGAGAGCACAAAAGAAATCCTGGCGGCATCATCTTCTCTTTTAGGGAGACGAGGACGCGAGGAATGGGCAAGCCGAGAACAGCCCAGGATTAGCAGTGCAGTGCAGCAGTCTCTTGCTTAGCATCCTCCAGTGAAAGAGAAAACAGTCCCCATCCTCCCCAGCCAGCAACTGGTGGGAGTTGTAGCTCACGGTACCGGGAGGGGACCTGGCTGTGAAAACCTGGGGCAAAATGCATTTCAATTAACAGATTAATGAAGGGTAGATGGAAAGGGAGTCGCGGTTGAGAAAAAAGCAGAGATGGAGCCAAGGGCAAGCATGGTTGGGCATCTGCCAAGGGTTCCTGCCAGCAGGGGGCCACAGCCAAAGGCCCCCTGGGCTTGCAGCTCTGTCCCATTGCAGCAGTTCGAGGAGGAGACACGGTCAGTATCTGGACCAAGGCAGTGCTGCATTTTCCTTTTCTGTGGCTCATCATTTCTTCACACATGTGCCTCACTCCCCCACCACCCATGAGCAGCACGTGCTCCGCTCAGACATCTCCCAAGGGACCAGATCTTGGCCTGGGACCTTTAGCAAGGTCCTAGGGGAGTTCCTCTGCTACCTGCTTCTTCACCCGCCTCTCACCCTGACCCAGCAGGTCGAGGGGGCTCTTGGCCTGCTGAGCAAGCAAGTGGCCACCTTGATGAGAAGGGGGCCCACTGGGGGTGCCGTGCTCACAGCCCCCCAAAACCTGAAGCCAGCCCTGGCAGGAGGGGCACAGGTCCAGAGGAGGAGGATTCTCCCTTCTCCATTCTGATGGGAATCATTCAGCAGAAGGATTTGACTCAGCAAGATGTTCGCTTAGGCACAGAGAAGTGGAGGAAAACGTCATTAAGAAAATTGTCTTTTAATGCACATATTTACAATCCAGTACAAGTCCTCCTGAGCAAGACCTGGCAAGGAGCATCTCATATACAAAACAATAAAGAGGGACAGGAAATGGAGCGTGTTGGACCCTTCTCAGCAGCAAAACCTTCCAGAGAGCTGTAAAGGTGGGGCCTCGGGAAACCTCAACAGCCCCTGACAGCATCATATCCAACCCACGAGTGACAACCAGCTAACACCACAGCACGTGAGTCCCTGGATTCCGGTGGCGTTCCCCATGGGGCTCTGCAGGTGCCCAGGAGAAAGATGCGTGCTCAAAGTTCAGGCCCCACCTCCGCCCGTGTGAGTCCACCGTGGGTGCGGCACTGGCAGTGACTGGCGTGCATTCCACAGACGTAGCAGGAAAGACAGATGCCTTGGCCGTCATCTGCATCATTCCAGCATGGATCTGGAAGGCGGCGGCAGGAGGTGGCGCAAAGATGGCGAGTCGTCTTCTTCCTCCGACTTCTCGGCAGCGTTCAGCAGCTGCTGCACATAACAGGACGTGCCGAGCAGGACGTGGCCGGTCGCCTGCATGGTGAAGAGTGTCCAGCGCAACGCTTCCCTGGAAATGGGAGACAGTGTTGTCAGGGACCCAAACGCCGTCCTTTCCAGGTGGGTTTGCTCTGCAGGTGGGCGTTGGCATGAAAATGCAGAAGTATTTTTGTGCGCAGTTCAACCCCTGCCTGTCTTTTGGGATGCAAGCATGCATTTCAGAGAAGACACTTTCTTTAAAGGGACGCATTTGGGAATGTTGGTTTTCCGCTTCGGGTGCAGTGTTTGTCCACGGCAAAATGGTGCACCTCTAGAAAGGCAAACTCAGTTCCGCTTGCACAGCGGCTAAAAGGTTCCCAAACGGGAAAGTTGCTCCCCAAAGGGAAACAAGTGAGTTCCCGTGCCGTGTTTGCCTGGACAGAGACGGCACTTGGCGGGATTTACTCCCTAGTCGGTTTTGTGACAGATCCACAAAACCACGTTGGAAGGGGTCAATTTCACGAAGCCATTTCTCCCCGAACGGCTATGTCAGTTTCATGAATGCTGGACGACGTCACCAGTACATTTTATTATGGAATGTGCTCCCCGGGGAGGTGCGCCTGGCGCTGATTCTATATTCTTTTCGGCGCCAGGTTAAAACTTTTATTTAATTGCTATTTTAAAAATTAATATTTCTATCATTAACAGTTGCTTTTGTTTTGCTTTTATATGTTCATGGAATTTGTATTGTTTTATTGTTTAATTGTACATTTGTGAGCCGTTCCGAGATGCCGAGGCATGTGGTGACGGCATATACAAGTTCTAAATAAATTAAAATAAACCTGCCAGGTCAATGAAAATGGTTTTGCTTCTGACAGCAACCTGAGTTCCAGGCAACAGGGTGAACTGTCCTCCCTTCAAGGGATGGGGGAAAGAAAGCAAGTTTTGACTTTGCAAGAGGGAAATCACCAAAGACTTCTCCAACCCAACTGTGAAAAGGAGTGTCAATGGCCAGGAAGAGGCTCCCTGGATTTCTCTCCCAGTCAAATCCCTGTGGCAAGTAATGGGTTCACTGGCCCAACAGAAGGCCGGGAAAAGCCTCAGCTTAGATTTTCCAAAGATTTTAGGCTCCAGCTCTGCAAGGAAGAGCACTGGTCTGGCCACTGGCGGTATCTCGGGTACACTGCCCCACGCATTTGGTCAGCAGTGGGGAAGCGTTCTCAGTCCACATCCCTTTTCAGAGCAGCTCTCAGGAGCCAAATTCCAGTGCCAAAAGCGAAAGGGGCAGGGCCAAAACTAGAAAAACAACCGACACAGTTCAGCTTAAATTGCTTCCTATTCGTAGCCAAGCCTCAGTTTGTGTACAGGGTGGGGATAGGAAGATCAAGCCAGGCTCTCCTGCACTTGCCAAACTTCTTGCCAGGTCAGGAAGTGAGCTGAGTGCAGATCGGTCCCTGCAACTGCTTGGGAACACCGGTCGCTTGTTTGGGCAAAGTACACAATGCGCACAATTCTTTGCACAAAGCACACACAGCCTGCAAAGCTCCGTGTGCAGAGGCAGAATTCTTTTTGCACAGCTCGCACCCTGCCAGCTGCTCAGGACGAGGCAGAAGCAAGGCAGAGCCCAGGGAACCGGGCTGAGCAACTGCAACACCAGATCTCTTCTGCATCACTAACACGGGGCTCCCAAGCTGTGCCAGGGGCCAAGAAAGAGGAAAGCCCACGAAGTGTGTGTGTTCGCTTTTCACTAGGTCAAGAAAAGATGCAGATTAGCAGCCTCCCAGGGAACCCTGCCTTCTTAAGGGGTGCACACACACCGGTCACGAAAGCCCAGCCTTGACCAACCTGGCAATCTCCAGGTCCATTGGACTCGGCGACCTGGCCAAGGTATGGATGCTGCGATTCCACACACCAGGCAGGTGCTGAGTTGAGGACACCGGGCATGAGGAGCCTGAGAGCAGGTCGATGCCAGCACAGGGCTGGAGAACCAGAATCCAGGAGGCTGAGCATGAAAATCCATCAGGTTCTCACCCGCTGTTGGGTTCCTCTTGTGGGCCATTGGCCAACGCCCAACCGTGCCGACCCTTGAGACCACGAGGGAAGACAAGAACTTACTTCATGATCTTCTTGGCCCCGTGGCATTGCATATCATAAGACATGCTGTAGGTCCCGTAGAGCGTAGCCTTGACATTCAAGCAGCCGATGAAGTCTCGAGGGTTGGTCTTGTAGAGGTCGAAGGTTACGCAGGCCACATCAATCCTCCGCCGTGGCTTGTGGGACAGTGCGAACTGGTAACCTGCCGCCTGCCGACAAAATGAAGCGGACTGTTTAGAATGCCCTCAAAAGGCCGTGTGTGGCCGGGTCAACCAGATCCTGGCCTTTGGATTTGGGGGCACAGATGTGGATAAGTTTTGCAAGGGCTAATTCATGTACAAATTTAGAATTACTAGGATTTAGAAACAGAGCGAGTCAGAAGGGGCCTCTCGGGCCATCTAGAGAGACAGCAAAATTGGCCAGTCCAGCACTCTCAGTGCTACACTGCACTGGCTTTCTCAACTTGCCTTTCTGCTATTCCATAAGGGGCACAAGAACAGTCCTGCCGAATCAGACCCAAAGCCCATCCAGTCCAGCACTTTGCAGACAAATTGGACTCTCACAGGATCCCCCACGCGGGGCGACTGCAAGGTCTCCCCCTGCCCAAGCCCCTCAGCAACTGGCACACGCAGGCAGGCCACCTTGGACAATGGAGGGAGCCCATGGCCAGCAAGGCCTGTAGCCAGACAGCCTCCTCCCTCATGAATCTGTCCAGCCCCTTTAACAAGCCGCCACCACTTCCTGTGACAGTGAAGGCCAGTTGGACTATATGCTGCGTGAAGGTCCTAAACTTCCCTCCAACCAGCTTTATGGAAGGGGGAGAAAACATGTCCCCCCTACTTTTGACCCACCATGCATTATTTTAAGCATCTCTATCGGGTTCTATTTTGGATTTCTTTAATGCTGCAATTTAATATTCAGTTATTCTTTATTGAGCGGTTTTCGTGGTTTTAATTGTGCAACCCATGCAGAGGCTTCAGTGACAGGGTGGGACAGGAATTTAATGAATAAAGTTAAAGGACTGGAAGAGCCCAAGTGTCTCAGAATCTCCCCTCTCATCTTTTGCTGGGGGCCTTTGAGGGCAACAGAAGCACCTGGGCAGGTTGGAGGAGGCTTCCTTCATGGCCCGGCCCAGGCTGGACTGGGCTTTCAAAGCAAACATTCCCACTTTGCATTGGGCCATGGGGGAGGCATGTCCAACTCGGGCAAAGTAAATCCCCTGAGCCATCTGCTCCCAGTTCAGTTCCTGCCCCTGCTTTCTCTACAGCGACCATTTCTGGACTGCCTGCAAGGGCAGCCCCGACAGGTCCTACAGCACAGTAGTCCAAACACGAGGCTGCTAGAAAATGGGCCTTTGCGGTGGTCCCAAGATGCAGATGTTGCATGAAGGGCACATCTCCTGCAGTGATCTAGCCTAAATTCTCTCATAAATAGCACCTGCGGATGCCCCCCCCATTAAAATGTATACATACCCCAACCCACTTGTGAAAATTTAAAGGAGGAAACACTGTGGCCATTACAAGAGATTTGGAACTTGTTGGATCCACTTGCTACAGTGTGGGTACCAGTTGTGGGGAATGGAAGAGAGCCCAGCAGGGTGGGCTAAATCCGTCGAGGTTTCACTCCAGAACCGAACCGAGTACATCCACTGTTGCGGCAGATGATATTGGCCACTGGTCACTGTTACCAGGCTGCTGTACTCAAGTCCCCATGGCAAGGCGAGGTGAGGGCACCTCCACCCCTTTTCCACCCTAGCGGAAGCGGTGTTGCCAGGACCACCAGAACTGACCGGTTTGGGCTGGTACCCCACATGCCGCTCACCTTGGCCGGGCGCCACGTCTGCCCCTTGGTCAGCACCAGCAGCACTGTCCCCTCCTCCAGCGTCTGGAAGAAGTCTTCCGTCTCCACAACGGTGCTGTCCTCATCCAGGACAAGCGAAAAGTTGCCCGCGATGGACAAGGCGCTGCGTACCTGTGGAGACACACGGAGGTGGAATCGGCTGCCTTTGCACCGCTCTTCCCACATTCTACGGAAGGGGGTTGGCAAAACCGCCTACCTTTTCCTGCAGATCCTTCAAGCTGTCAGCCATGATCCCCTTGCGCAAGGTGCGATCGCAGTTGCTCACCCGGAAAGGCCGGGCAGGGGGAGCAGGACTGGCCAGCAGCTGCTGGGTCACAGAGGCACTGGCAGACACACACCTGGGGGGATCGAAGGGGAAATCAGAGGAGGCCGAGAAGAAAGAACAGCCCTTGTTCGGTGCCCGGGGCACCTCTGCACACACCTGAGCTGCTGAAAGGTTATTCTCCCGAGCCTGTTGCTACAGCTTAAAAGCCGTTCCTTTGCTCCCATTCAGAAGCCCCGCTGTGCAAGGGTCACCAAGCATTAAATGCATCCAGCCATCCCATCCAGGAGCCCTCGGAGGCACTGACCTTTACACTGAGGCAGAAGGAAAGCCTCTGTTCTAGCCCTTTGCTCTTCTTGGCTCCTTTCTTAGCCCTCTGCATAACAGTGAGCTTCCTTTAGATAGTATTATCAACAAATTACAGGCATTCAAGGGGACAGCTCCCTGCCCCGAGGAGCTTACAGTCTACAAACTGGCAGAGGGTGGATAGAGGCAACAGGAAGGAAATGAGGAATCATTTCAGTGAGCACTTTCAGGGGTGGTTCTAGGCCACGTTCTAGGTAGGACAAGGCCACTGCTCTTTGGTCCCAAATACCAATTGAAGCCCAAATTGCTACAGCCCTTTCCTGAAGAACCAAAGCGGTCTGCTCTGCTTCTCCCCTTCGAACAGTCTATTTGCCACCGTTTCCCAGGTTTTGCAGTCTTCTGCCCCATTCCCAGAGATCCAAATGTCATGAATGGCACAAGGAGCTTTAGGGCACAATCCTATGCAGATTTAGGCAGAAAAAATTCTTGCATTTCGCACAAGTGCCCTAGTCCACCAGGCTGGATGGGGAACGCTGGGAGCCGCGGGACTCTTGTCTCAACATGCACAGGGCTGCACCCCAAAGCTCCATCATCATGACGGATATTGCATTACATGCCGGTACTTGGCAGAAGTTGGGCTCATCTCTTACCCTTGACCCCATATACCACTGGAATTAATCCCACCCCCACCCCCCGTCCCCAAGAACCTCTCCAGATGGAACGGAACCCCTGGACAGAAACAGGCATGGCACCCCCACAGCAGGAAAGGGTTTTCTGCTAAGTGCTTCCGTGGGCCAAAAGATTACAAAAGCTGAGCGAGGAGGGCTGGCAAGGGGGGAATCGCACCACCCCACTGATTTTTCAGATCTCATTTGCCGGGAAGAATGGGCAGGGCCAGAGCTGTTCTTTCTTCGGCTTTCCTTCTGCCCTAAAATTGAAGGCATCCTGTGTGCACGAGCCCATGAGAGGTCGCTGCTTCAGCGTGGGGTGAAAAGCCCCCTTGGGATTGCCCCATGGCTACTTTTCCTCCTGGGAGGGAGGGAGGGAGGGAGGGAAGGTCTTGGTGGAAGGGCACACAACACTCCTCTTCCATTATCGGAAAAGAAAGCAGGTATCTCCCCCCTCCTCCCTTCTGCCAGCTCGTCAAGAAAAGAAACAGACAAGGGGGCAATTTAACGATGCTGCATTCATCACTAATTGCTCCGCCTGGAGCAGCCAACTTAATGGAACAGCTACGGAACAGGAAGATTTCAGTTTTTATTTGTGCTTACTCAATTCATTTCCTGGCTGTCATTGGCTTCCCAGGGCAGTTTGTGGCATACAAATACAACACAAAACACAGGAAGACCACAGACAGGAAGATGCTGAGTAGTGTCAGGTAAACTGCCATTCTGAAATAGTTATCAGCAGTGTTTTTGTAAAAAAAAAAAAGGTGCCGGAACTCACGTCTTGGGGGTCACACTTTACACAATGGTCGCCGCCGGCAGTAAGCACTCAGCGCACGACCACACGACTGATCCCGATCCCAAGCCGAGCAGCGCCCTCACAATCAGTGCCCACAATCAGCAGCCCACAGGCACTATGTGAATGATTTTTGCTGCCGACCAACAGGGCGATTCACAATCACTTGGGAAAATCTGTCAAAAAAGGTGCCGGAACGCTGTTCCGGTGCGTTCTATGATGAAAAAGCCCTGGTCATCAGCAGCAAATCCCATAAAAGTCAGCAAGGACAGAAGAGTCCTAAAAATTCTCCTAAAAGACAACACAATTGGGTCAACTAAATCTTTTTCAAGAGGGAATTCCATAGGATGGGGCCAACCCAGAAAAGTCTTCATCTCTGCTGCCCACCCACCTTACTGGTCTTGGTGACAGGCCAGTGAAGGACAGCCTCCGAAGGTGATCTTAAAGCATGGTCAGAGGCTAGTAACACACTACATATAGACATGTGTACAAGTCCATATAGTCCTTCAAATACCTTGGACTCAAAACTGTTGTAGGACAAGATTAAAAGGTCATACACAGCAGCTTCAACTGGGCTCAGACTTGCACTAGTCAAGGGTCCGTGTCACATGAGCTAACCCTCTACTCCCAGTGATGCACAAATCAATAGGTGTAACTTCCATGGGTAAAATCATGCAATCATTGACACATAGCTAGGCCAGAGAAACACTTGCAAAAACGTGAAGCAAGCAGAATTGTGTCCAAAAATGCACAGAGGAAAAATGTGCATTAAACAGGATACAGGATAGAATGAAATTCGAGATGGGGGGAAAAGCAAACCAGATCAAAGCCAGAACAGAAACTTGTCCATCTTCCCAGAAATACTTACTTGGAGAGGGAGAGTGGAGAGAGCAGACCCAGAGACTTCTTTGCATAGTCCATCCTCACAAGCTTGGTTTTGTCCACACTGCAGGGAGAAAGAGAGCTTCCTTATTAAAGGAGAATCACTTTGCTGGATTCCAGTTTGGAGAGAGGGGCAGGTCAGAGACACCAGGGGCCAGCAAACGGCTTTAGGGTCAGTAGCCCTTTCCTGGTGGCTGGCTACCATTTCAGTCTGAAGAACATGTTAGTGCCCTTCCATCCAAGACAGAAGAATATTTATGATCAAGCTTACATGAAGTCCTTTTGAACACTGAAGTCTATTTACTAGTTAAACACAGCATCACATTTTACCCTTCTGCATCAATTCAGTTTCCCTCCCTGTACCAAGGGACCCATCCTACCTGACACAGGGCTTCACAGACAGAGGTGGGGAGAACCCAGACCCGGGGGACCTTCCTCCAGGACCCTCCTTTGTTTCCTAGATGGCCATATCCCCTTTCCCTGCCAAATACGGCTTGTTCGGTGTCACCCGGCTTTTTGCCATTTTCGCCTCATTCTCCAGGGCTGAAATGCTCCCAAGGCTTACCCTCTGGCACTCAGAACTCTAGGGCACAACCCTCGGTGCACTGGGACAGAAAGAAGCCCAACAACCTTCAGCTTGACTGGCTGGGAGCTGCAGAATCCTTTTTCTGACCAAATATGTGCAGGGGTTTTTTCTTGCATAGCGTTCCATGCTTAAACAAGAGGCTGAGATCTTTTTGTAATTGTGGGCCCACCACCTACTGGAAAGGAGCCCTCAAGAACAGTTCCAAAAGGGAGTTTGGTCTTGTCAGAAGAAGTTTTCCCCCGCCCCCAGTGGAGCTGGTTCTGTGGAAATGACCACAGCAGACAAGCTGCGCTGGTTAATATCACCATAGTTCTAATTCCACATGGGCCATAAATGCTTCCAGCACAGCAAATTGAACATTTATTAATGTTTCCAAGATCCAGGTAACACCAGGTGAGAAAGACCTCAGCCTCACTTAATAGTTTCTCCCCAACCTGTTGGATTACAACTCCCATCCACTCTGACTGGAATTATAGAGTTGATGGAAAGAGTTAATGGGAATTGCAGTCCAACACACCTGTAAGGCACCTGGCTGGGGTGTGTATACACTCCCTTCCTCCCCCAAAATGGTTAACAATTGAGGCAGAATCCTTAGCACTATACATACACTGTGACAAACTTGGAATTCACCAAAATCATACCAAGATAACTTCTCAATAAACTGTTCCTCTGAAACGTGGTATCAGAGTTGAATCATCTACTCCAAAGACTCTCTAATGGGGGGAGCAGTACAAACCAGGGCGGAGCACCCACTGAAGTGGCTCACGGCAAGGGTAAGCCGAGGCCCCACGCAGCCCCTCAGAGGAACGGCACCCCAGCGAACACAGCCCCGGTGCCAGCCCTCGCTCGCCCCCAAGCTCAGCCGACGCAAGCCAGGCAGGCCCAGTCCAGCTCATCGGGCCACCGGCGGAGCCCGCTCTCAGTCCTCCTGTCCCGCTCGCCCCCTCCAGGCGAACGCGCCCGACTCACCCCGGCCGCCGCTCCCGGGCAGAGCAGCGAGGGCGCCCGGCGCTTCCTCCGCGGCGGCGGCACCCTCGTCGCCCGAGCGCCGCTCGCCCTTTGGCCAGGGAAGGGCGCGCCGCCACGGGGAGCCGGCCGCCCGGTTGCGTCAGGCGCGCTCCAGAGGCCGAGCGGGCAGCCGCGTTGCGCAACCGGGCCAAGGAGCGACCGCGGGCGCGGACCGCCCTGCCTCTCCGCGGGTGCGCCTGCCTGGACAGAGGGTCCTGCTGGGCACCCGGGAGATTCGGGGCTCAGGCCCGCTGGAAAGGGAGGCCACGGGGTTGCGTGTGCCACTCTGCACATGCTCGGGGGTGGGAGAAGGTGTGCGCGTCTCTCGAGGACGCTGGCAAAAAGGATACCTTGGGGAGGCCAGAGGTAGCCTGGAGCAGGCTCGGGAACTCCGCGGAGCTGAGAAATCTTGAGGCAGAATCCGTCCCGTTGCCCCGTCCAAGCCATTCGTTGTCTAAGGCACAGCAGCCACCTGGCTGCAACTCCCTCCTTGGCCAGAGGCTCGCCCCCTCGGGCTGCCACCTCCTCTCAGCCTAGACTACCTCACAGGGTCGTTGTGAGGGTCCAGTGGAGACCTTGCGTACTGGCCTGAGCAACCTGGGCAGACCGCTGGGAAGGACAGTCTTGCATGTCTTTCCGTGTTCGTTTTGCTCAACAGAATCCAGGTGACTGCAGAAGAACCTCACAGGTCGTTCTACCCTCCGCCAAACAGCATCAAAAACAGCGTGTTGGTGCAGTCAAGGGTTCCCCCCCTTTGCTCCCATTTCCTTTGTTCTGCCCTTCCTCAAAGGAACAGAGAAGCATTCCAGGTTCTCTCCAGTTTTCTCTACACAACCTGCCTGCTGTGAGGCAGGTTAGGCTGCAAGGTAGTAACCAAAGAGCTTCACCCATAACACTCCCGAAAATGTATCCATGGTACCAGGATTCCCCAACCATGTGCCCTCCAGATGGGGTGGACCACAATGCCCATCATTGCCAGCCAGCAGGGCTCAGAAAACAGTCTCCTCCAAGCTCCTGAGGTATAACAGCCCTGTGCTTGGAGACAGACCCTTCTGTTAAGCCCTTTGCCACGTAGCCACTAAACACGCAAATTGCAGCACAGTCTCCAACTAGGTGCAACACAAATGCAATGGCCTATGTTCACCGGGGATGATAGGAGCTGTAACACAACATACCTGGGGAGCACCCCAACAGCATAATCCCTGCAATCAAACCCAAGACCCCACATAGAAGGGGCACTCCTACTTTTATCCAAACAGAATTCCACCTCTGCTAAAGCTTGGACAACTATCCCCAAACCAGAGTAGCCAGCTCAGCTTGTTCATAGCCTGTGCATAGAGAGGAAATTACAGTGTCTTAACAAACCATTAACTCCATCCAAGCACAGCCCTCTGCACTTACCAAGCTGCTAACCTTCTTCACAATTCTTTGCTTATGACTGTTTAGGTAAAGAAAAGGGCAGAGGCTTGGTTTTTATACCTCTGAAAGCCTTCCTCTTCCTAGCCTATTAAGCCAATCTCCTGTCCTAGACAATCAGGGTGGGACCCTGGGAAGGTCAAGGCAGGATTTGCTCAATGTGTTAATGATCAGCCTTAAAGTAGCCTCTGCTCTACCAGACGCTCGTTGAAGCCTGAACTGGGCCAAAGGCCAGTCTTAATCACTGGGTCATTGGGCAAATTCCAGTCTGGTTTGCTGGCAAGATTTATGCACACCTCTGTGTCTAACAAGATCCCCAAATACTGACCAATAAGTCCTCCTGTGCTGTGACTGTGAAAGAAAAACCAACTAAGTGCATCATAACCAAAAAGAAAAGAACCAGAACAGAGCACGAAAATATTTAAAGCCCAGTGGTGAGAATAAATCCATGACTAGTCAACTTATGTATTAAATTCATGGCTTACACATGTATTAAAAAGTTTCTTTGTGCAAACCACTATCAGTGCCTTCAACAGGCAGGGAGTTCCAGAGTTCAGGAGTGTTTCTGAATCTACAGGATCCTATGCCAATCTGAGATGCTCCCAATTCTCCACCTGCAAATGCCGGGGGAGGGGGGGCTTGTCCTGTATAGTTAAGGATTCTGCCACAGAGGGAAGTTAAATGCCTCTGTACTGGTTGCTGCCCACATTGGCTCATGTCTACATCACTCTTAAAGGTACATCATTTGCACTGGGTTGCCCACCCCGGTGCTCTCCAGCTGGGTTGGATTACAGTGCCCATCACTGCAGTGGAGTGATGCATTCTGCAGTTCCCATTGCCACTGGGGAAAGCATTATCAACAAACCATTTCTAGCTGCTTCCATTCTACCAAGAGCTGGTCTCTTGCTAAACTGATGGTTCTTAATTGGCCATTCTGGATGAAACTGCCCCCAAATCTTCTGCATCGCAACAGAGAATTCATTCAGGGTGACGCCCACAGATGCTTCCTTTCGTGCATTGTATCCTCACAACAACCATGCAGGGTAGGTGAGGCTGAGAGAGAGAGAGAGAGAGAGAGGATACCAAGGACTTTGCCACACAGGTATGGGAATGGGTGATGGATGCCCGTCTCATGTCCTTTCTTGCTGTGTCCCCAGGCAGGTGAATGTCACAGCCATTGAGACCTTCGGCTGCATCCCTACAGAAACTTTCCGGGGACTAAGCCTTCTTGGACAAGGTGGGATTTAGTTCTCTGCAAACATTCAGGATTTCTCTCTTCAGGGCTGCCAATACCTTTGATATGGTGCAATCTGAGCCCAATTCAAGGGACTGTTGTCAACCTATGAAGCCCCCCAGGGCTTGGGCTCACAGTCCCTGATGGAACACCTCTTCCAGCCTGGATGCCACGGCCAGAATCTGGGGCTGACCTCTATTTGCCGCGTCCGGGGGAAGCTGGGATGGTGGCAACAGGGAGAAGTTGCCCCCAAAAAGACGGTGGTCCCACTTACAGAGCGAACTCCCCGCTGAGGAGTGCGTCACCTGGCACCAGCTTTAGGATGTCTTTGGCACCAGGTTGAGACCACCTCCTACTGCAGGGCATTTAACTGGTTTATAACGGGGTTGTCAGCTGCCTAAAAAGGTCTTATGATTTGATTTGTGCAAGCTATTGCAGAGTTTCACATGTGTTTTAAATCCAGTTTTAAATTTTCTCTGTCAATTCTTTATGATGCTGTATTGCCCTCTACAATTTATATTGCACTTCCTGCATTGTTGTAAAGCTCCCAAGGGCTTCAGCTGTGGGGTAGTATCTAAATAAGGGATTGTGCCCTTGCGGTTACGATCCTGAGAACACTCTCCTGGAAGCAAGTCCCACGGGGACTTCCTAAAGAGTCGTCAGGGCCCACCCTTGCCACAGCTTCAAACAAACACCAGCTGTACCTTTCATGCATTTTTAAAGGATTACAAAAAGAAAAACAGAAAAGACAACTTGAAAGATGACCTTATTTCTAAGACATAAGGACAGTTGCTATTTCTGCATAAATTCCCTGCCTTTTGAACAGCTTCAGATGGCTAAATGCTCCTAATACCGTGACAAACTGGGGAGACTGAGTCACTCTAAACCAGCCTTTATCAATCCACTGCCTTGTGGATATGTTGAATCACGACTCCCACCAGGCCCCAGCCAACTGGGCCACTGGCTACGTTTGCTGGCAGTGTCCGGAATTGCAGTCCAATGCATCTAGAGCAGTGATGGCGAACTTTTTAGAGACCAAGTGCCCAAACTGCAACCCCAAACCCACTCATTTATCGCAAAGTGCCAACACTGCAATAAAACCTGAATACTGAGGTTTTAGTTTAGAAAAAGCAACTCGCAGCCAGTCCAAGCAAATATATATGCACATCCTTGGCAGCGCACTGACCAGCCATGCGAAAGCTCAGACGAGTCGTGGCTAATGGGTCGTGGCTCGTGACATCACCGCCTGGCGCCGCTACTCCTTTCTGAGCATGCGCATGGCCCCTATGCGCGCTGCTATCTGATGCTCAGCTGCTGGGGCGATGCTGGGGCGACTTGGCTCTCGTGCCGACAGAGAGGGCTCTGCATGCCTCTGTGGCGTACGTTCGCCGTCACTGGTCTAGAGGGTTTGTGCTGGCAAAAGCAGCAGAAAAGCTATGCAGGCAAAGCAGCTTACATATCCAACAGTGAGACAGAAAACTTGGGAGCTTGTGACCCGAGTGCTTTCCTGCATTGAGGACGTATTTGGAAAGCACAGTCAGGCCCGTAAAGGAGGCCTGTCCGCCAGCTCATTCTCCGCCAGCTCGCTCTTTGCCCTACCAGCTGCAATGACAGCAATTCGTGTTTAGTTTTTCCAATCCAGCTATTTGCCCAATTTCCTCTGCCTTTGGATGCCTCCTGTTGCGTGAGGCAATGACAAGAGATCTCCATCAGTGACTGGAAGAGCTTGGAAGCGAAGTCACAGACCCAGGACCTCTCTCCCTACTGTGCACTAAACCCCCAAATTTAGAGCGCCTGAAGAGACAGACTGACCGGCACCATGGGGGGTGTGATTTTTGCTGGCAGGTTAAGAAGGGCAGGGAGGAAATTAACATTAAAATCCCACACTGACCACTCAAAAGTATTGCTTTTGTTTGGAATATGCAGGCGGGAGGAGATACTCTCCATATGTCCCAGTTCGTTCCCCTGATGTGACGCAGATCTGAAAGCAGGGCTTCCCCTCCCTGGGGAGCAAGTTGTTTCCATTTATTTAGTTATGTATTTATTATATTTCTGGTCCGCCCATCAGCCCAAAGGCTCCCTGGGTGGTTCACAAATCAAAATTACAATAGTTAATACAAAACCACAGCAATGCAATTATAAATACAATGATAGAATAAAATAATAATACCATAACCCACCCTCTGCCACTGCAGCTACAACAATCTCAGAGGTACAATATAAATACAGTAAAAGATGAAGGTACAAGTCTAACTTGTGATGTGTTGTATTTATGTATTTATGGTTTTTTTCTGTTTAAAAAAAATAAAAGGGGGGAGATACAGATCTAACTATTAAAATATTGGGAGAATAAGTCAATTTTCACGTGATGCCAAAAGGAGCAAAGA